TGCATGCTGCTAGATAGGGTCTAGACTCTAGACTAGAGGTTGTTGGCGGCGAAGAAGGCTTCGACGTCGGCGCCGGCGTAGAAGCCCCTGCCGCCCTGCCGCGAGACGGCCCCGGGCGCGGCCCTCCTCTTCCTAGGAGGCGCGGGGCAGCCCCCGTCGGCAGCCGCGCGGGCCTTGGAGCCGCTCGGCGTCCTGCACCCGGAGGCCTCCGCCTGCTTGCCGCCGCCGCTGTCCGCCTCCTCGCTGCCGCGCCACTGCTCAAGCGGGAGACCCATGCCTGCCCCTCAAGATCTCTCTCACACACTTGCTAATTCGGGCGATGGGGTGGGGAGACGGCCGAGAGAGCTAGCTAGTCCTGAACCGCTGGGGCGGGGGTGCAGGGGTTTATATAGACGGAGCTAGGGCGTACGTGGGAGGTGGGCGGCGAGGTGCAGCGGATGTACGGACGCCCCGATGGATGTATCGCTATCGCCCCGATTCTGACTTCTGAGCCGGGGATCGAATCGGATCGTGGCGTGATGGCAGGGCAGGGCGGTGCCATGCCATCCATGGATACGATCATTCATCAGCGTAACGTGCTCCATTGCTTTATTTTGTCCGGAGGCGCGTGCACGGGATGCATGCTTGCTGCATGACTTCTCCCCGATCGACCGCCATATGCAACCTGCTGCGTGGGGTTTCTCTCCGCTAGCCTCTACTTTTTCCAGAAACTAACTCGTTAATTCCAGTAGCTAACTAAATACACGCTGCGTTGCTACCGATTAACAATTTATGTTGGCCAATATATATGTTCATATGAGAGCAGTTTTAACGAGGTCCCTCTTACCTCCTCTTTTCACATGAGAGGTAAGAATACAAAATAGATATGAGGCGTTGATCTCATTAATTAGTAACCACGTTAAAATTTTCCGTCATATGATTGGTGTGCTCTAAGAGAGACAGCGGTGCAACTAGAATCTAAGTACTAAGGGCATCTTCAACACGGACCACAAACCACCCGCAACCGTCGAGACCGAGAGCTAGGTCCGGACACAGTTTGCCATTCATCATAGTACTCATCGGTTCGCAAACTGGTCTGAATGTCCGTTTTCCCGTAAAGCGGACACATACCATGGGGGCTTTGCGAGCGTCTGGATCGGGGCCACGTACGCATCAGCCTCCCCGCACCCTCCCCAAATCCCCTCCCGTGTGAAGCAGTTGATGTGCATTCATGCCTGTCAGTGCCACTCCAGAGCGCCAGCGCCACATTCATGCCGGTTTGGAGCAGATGCGACCTCTCACTAGAGTCATCTTGAAGCGGCGCGCAGGCAGAGAATGCAGAGGTCTCCGATGATGACCAGACGATGGAGGAGGCCTCCCCCGACGAGCCGACTTCACCATGGAGCAGGTGCAGACACACTTCCACGTCGTTATGGCAGAGGAGCAACCAGCGCCGTAGCCGGTGTCCTGGTAGGCGCAGGAGGAGCAACGTTACAACCTCGGTCTCCTCCCGCATCACCGGCTGGAGGAAGCCCATATGTACAGGGAGTTCACGAGCGAGGAGGCTGTGGCGGCCATGGCCACAGAGAACCGAACTTCATCGAGAAACAACATATGTTCTATTACTTGATGTTCTTGTTGCTTCCCTAGAATTTGATTTATTCTGTTCTTGGCGGCATGGTGGAATTTTGTAAAAAAGTTATGCCCTGCGATCCTTCTATGCTGCTCCTAGTATGCTAGTTGTCACTTGTCAGATCAACGATGTGTTCTCAATTCTTTGGATTCCACCTTAAACTGGAAAGTTGTTGTAAACTAGAGGGCATGTAGATTTGATCTACATGGGGTCATGCGTATGACGAATTTTAGTATTGGGGCTAGATATTTTTAATTAAGTCTTTTCCTACATACACCTCGCAAAGTTAATCTAGCATCTTAAATAATCATACTTGATGATGAACGTAGGTAACAATGTTTTGTTTTAAATGTTGGAAGTATGCCCTAGAAGCAATAATATTGTAGTATTATATTTTCATGTTCGTAATTAAGAGTTTATATTCTATGCTATAACTGCTATGATCCTGTAATATGCGATTCAGTGAAAAACTCATATGCACGTGTAGAATAATAAATGGTAAAATACGACTGGCTCAAGTGTTGTTAGTGATCACGTTTTCTGGATCTTAGGATATCGTTAAGTGTAAACGATAGTCCTAAAACAACAATGAGTGTATGATGTTAAAAAAGAACGATCATATTGAATCGACCCAAACTTGTATGTTATACTTTGAGATGATATCGTCACAAGTCAATTGTTAATTATAACACAGAGTGTTAGCGTGTGTTTTAGTTCCTTAGACCATGAGAGTATCGTAGTCACTTCTTACCGTACGATGAGCTTTGGGGTTGCTCAAATGTCATTTGTAACATGGTGATCATAACGACAACTTACAGGTTCACTAGAAAGTTTGACAAGGGACTCGATAGCTCGAGACTGGAATTTGCTCCTTCGACGATAGAGAGATATTTTTAGGGCCCTCTCTGTTGACGACATCCATTATTGTTTGGCTAGACACAGGTGACTACGTCACAGGGATGCCAGAACATGTGAACGAGAAAGAAGAACAAAACCAGCAACGAGGAGACCGATACAGTGAGCATGTGTTTGACTCAAGAGGATACCAAGGTATCTCACCTCGGGTTTTGTAAAGTATCGTGAAGCAAAGGGGACATCACATGACAAGCAAAGGTTACAATCATTCGGGTAATCATATGGATCGATATGGACGTCCACAGTTCCGATATCGGTCATTGAATGAAGGGGTTTCATTCATGTCTATGTTTTTACCGAACCTACAGGATCACAAGCTTAAGGTAATCATGATATACTGAGTGTTAGTAGGATGAGAGTATCAAGAATTTATTTGTTGAATTGTTTCATTAATATTCGAAATAGTTCCGAGAGGAAACAGAAGCGTTTCGGGGTCATCAGAAGGGTTTCGGAGTTTATTGGGCAATACCGGGTATTACAGATAAATAATATATCGGTGGAAAATGTTCCGGTGATGTTAAATTAATAATAAAGGCTCTAGTAGTTGTTAGGAGGCTTTTATAATCAATTAAATATTAACGGGCCTTAAAAGGCCAAAGTGGTGGAAGGAGAATTGGGTCACAAGGGCCCAATAGGGGGTGGCACCCCCTTTCCTCCTAGGGACGCCGAATTGGAGTGGGGGAGGACTCCCCCTCCCGTACTAGGCCAGCGCAAGGGGGGAGTCCTTCCACTTGTGTGGCAGATCCCCTCTCCCCTACAACCTATATATATACTAGAGGCTTTGGGCACTTTTAAAGACACAAGTTTTGGAGACTCCTCCAATTCTCTAGCTCTAGTTCTAGTTGGTCCTAGTTGATCAATTAGAGCTTGACATAGATTCTCTAGTCCTTATAGTTAGAATCCCCATGTGGTTCTAATCTGCTCCCTCTAATTCTCCGACGATGATTAGCTCTAGACGACAAAATGCTGACGGATCATGAAGACCGTACACTTGCAATCCGTGGAGAGGCCGTGCTTTTGGTCTTCTGTTCGAGGGACTATTCTGGGAGGTTTACGAGATCGTTCATCCATGGTTCGAGGGACTTCAAATATGATGTACACCGACTCGTCTACTTCCGCTGCTACTCGGAGTCAGTAATGATATCTTAACCATTGATGCATCTTCATATTGTTCCTCGGTGATAGTAGGGCGATTTTTTTGTTTTCTATTATGTTTCCCAACACTGAAACCATAGAAGGCACGTACAATAAATTTTGGTATAAACCGAGTAGAGGCGTCTAACTTAGTTCTGCCAGTTGCATGTGATGTGGCATAGTCTTCATCATATTGATGAAATTTTGCATTAGATGTATATATGTTGTAATATTTAACATGACGTGTGTTTCATGATATGACATAATGGCTGGAGCCATATGATTGCCGCTTTAATGACCTGCGTGTCAAGTTTTATGTAATGCTATTTTTATATAGTATCTATAGAAATAACTGTGATAAAATAGTGATTACATATGATGGTGACAAGTTTGTGGAGGAGCCCGACACAAAAGGAACTGTTACCGATTGCCACCAATTCTGGCAGAAATATGTTTTTTGTTAAAACTGCTACCAGGAAATATGTGTATTCTTGGACACAAGGAATTATTACAAAATAAGCATACAAATGATGCTAATCTCAGTAAGTCACACTTGTTTCTTCAATTGAATTTGACCCCCTTGTATTACTAGATAGATACACCAATCTCTAGTGTAAGGAAATGGGAGAAGAATTCAAAAGTGCATACAATTTTGAATGTATCGACATGGTGAGTACCTCCCGTGCTACAAAATTCCACAGAGAAGTCAGGAAACCTACAAGAAATTTTTGAGACGGACACAACAGCGAAAACACTATTCACAAAATATGTTAGTCTATTCACGACAGAAATCATCCTTTTTATTACACGATGCATGACTTAAATTTGAACTCAAATTTTTGTGGCACGCTACATGTCAATTGTGTAACCCACTAAGGAGTCCAAACTTTTTAGTCTGCTCCAATGGCAGCAGCACCACATGAGCGCCATTCGTTATGTTCTCGCTGGACCAGGTTTCAAAGAAAGTTGATATACTAACAGAATAAATGGTCTCCATGACGGCTAGAAACCATCAGGGATGGCAACAAAAACAGTCAGGAACGCCTCACTTCAGGCATAATGACAACAGTAATACTCCTCGACGATGACAACCGGAAGTTTACAGGAAACACCTTTCACAGAAACTTCACCAAGGCGCCTCGCGCCTGTATACCTGCTGCAGCGTCTTACTACAACTCCACCAGATCTTTGGAGGTAGCAATCCGGAGTTCTAGACTTACAGCAACAAATTACAAGATAGCTCAAGTAAGCAACGCCACACAAAACAACGGTCTCAAGCTGGACGTTCATGTCCAGTATTAAGGCTGGAACTTCGGCAATAAGCCCAAAATGTACTTCGCTAGTATGCGGGGAAATCAGGATCGACGTCATGTGCCCAAGACTGCAGGCCACCGACTATGTCCTTGGTGGAGTGAAAGCCCTTCTCGCGGAGAAGCTGGACAGCGCTCTGTGAGTCGTTGCCTCTTCTGCAGACAACGTACAAGGAAGGCTGTTTATCTGAGGTGGCGGAGGCATCCATAGTTTCCTTCATTGAGGTCTCGAGCATAGGCAGCTTCTCCTCCAGAACGGAGAGTGGTATGTTCAGAGACCGGGAAAGTGAAACTATTTGGAAATGATGAGCAGGCCGTACATCCAACAGCACGTGAGGTTCCCCCTTGTCGATCAGCCCTTTGTACTCTGTACAAGTGATGCGGGCACTTTCTGGTAGCAGGTTCAGGCTCGGTGCCGTCTGCATTAATCATAACAATATGTGAAATGTCATAGCTTCACAACCTGGAACAAGAACTAAGTGATCCAGAAGAAACTAGTTTAGTACTCCCTCCGTCCCAAAATAAGTGTCGCTGATTTAGTACACTAAATCAACGACACTTATTTTGGGATGGAGGGAATATTATTTTGTTTGGCACTGCACCTTTGTTTTCAGGGAAACTAGAGAAGCCCTAAAGAATTATGAATTCCATGTAAGGACTTACTGGCAACATGGCATTCAGCTTGCTTACTGTGTAAGCTGGTTATCAATGGTGGCCATTCCATGTGACACGCAGGCTCTACCGAAAAAGAAAAAAAACTGGACTTGGACTGCTCAGTACTCACATACCCATATTCCAACTCAGGTTGTAGAGCTACTAGAGGGTGCTCGTTAAATGTTTTCACTGCACATCTGTACTGGACTATCACTCCACATTTGTGTATGGGACAATGGATTAGCCAAAAATTGCCAAGTAGGGAAACCCAGTTGGTTTGCAGTGCCATGAGCATTTCCTATAACACTTGCTAAACACTAAGTGCTAAGCTAGCATTAGAGTTCTACTCTGTAACTCACACGTGATTAGAGTAACAAGAAAATAGTCGAAACATGCAATTCATAGCTCCCTTTGTTTACACAAAATGCCGATCGCATTAAAGACAAACTATGAAGTCAGTGTTCTGAAGCCCTCTCAAGTATTAAAAGCAAACCAGAATCTCAATACAGAGGGAAAACATACCTTGTCAGACATTGGGGATTGTGTGAAGGTCTCATAATCAAACTTCTGAAAATCTTCTTGCGTGAAAACTGAATTTTCTGCACAAATGGTACAAGTAGGCGAGCTTCCTCGAATCTTAACCTGCAGAAATATGCAGATTTGATAATGAAATATATAGAATTTGTTTAGTATGAAACAAGCATAATATAAAGTAACAAATTATAGGCAGGTTTGAACTTGTCCTGTGCAAGTCAATCCTCAAACAATTGATACAACTTCAAAAGGTCATACAAGGCTAATGACAGTTTGCGGGATCAGCAGAATAGGCTTAATGATCATAATATACTATGCATATCCCAATCCAACTGTTACATATGGTACAAAAACCTACATTGTTTAAATTGCCACTTTCAGGGCTGAAGTCAGTTAGTAGGATTGGCCAGATGAACATACCCCACTTGCCATATTATAAATATGACTAGCAGTTTGATTATATGATAAAATATACTAAAAACATTTAAGTTGGAGGTAGACAGTATATGGCGCTTGCACCCATTATTTGAGCTGCAGCAGCTGTAAATATAAGAGTAGACTTATCATGTTCAAAATTTGCTAGTACACAGAGGACTGGACAGCAAGTCTAATTTTCCCTTGTCCAAAATGCACATGAAGTACAATGCACATATTCATGGATGACTCTCATGTAGAAAAGTGAAATTTCCTTCCTAATTACTCCCTCTGTAAAGAAATATATAAGAGCTGTAAATGCTCTTATATTTCATTACGGAGGGAGTATTTGTTACACTCCTAATATATGGAACGGGTATTACAAGTAGCAAATAACACCTGACTGTATGCAGCACAATATGGGAAAATGAATAGATTTACAGGCGCATAAGCAGGAAGTAGAGTAACATACAATTCGAATACGAGCAGATAGAGCGTCAAAGAGCAGCATTCTTCCACTTAGAGGTTCACCAACATCACTTGCAACCTTTATAGCCTCTAGGGCTTGCAGGCAGCCAATCACTCCCGGAACTAGTAAACAAAAAGTAGTGAGCCTACAGTACGAAATTAGTTATGAAAAAAGAAGATATGAAGTCAATTAAGCACACACAGACCATCCTATTTACTGCCAAATAATTTACAACTACAGTAGTAAATGCATGCTCTATCTAGAAAATGAAGCATTGTTATACAAAAAACAATCTACATTGTAGTCACCCGATAAATAAACTAATTTAAAAACTGTGTAGTGTTTGATGAGTAACTTAATTATTTGTGTTTTTAATTGTTTGTGCAACAGAAATTTGGGTACGCATACATACCCGGAAAATGTTTACAGTGAAAACTACAGTTCATATTTCAACTGCTGCAGTATGCTGTTGCTATGCCATGAAACATGATTTACTAGAGTACTTACCAACCCCAAGAACGCCGCTGTCTGAGCATCTCTGGCAAGCTGCCACTGGTGGTGGATTTGGGAAAAGACACCGGTAGCATGGGCTTCCGTTATGATGATAAACAGTCAACTATTCAAGACATCAGCAAATGAAGACAAAAATACTAAGTCAGACTATAAAAAATACAAGATCTTTTGCAAGAAACAACTTTACCTGTCCTTCTAAACCTAATGCTGCACCAGATATAAGAGGCTGCACGAATAAAATAACAGTTCAGAATTTGATCAATGAAAACCAGTGCAAATGAAATAAACATAAATATAGTGGTGCAAGCTAATAAATAAGAACCAACAGCCTGGCAGAAGGCTTGCTAACCACCAACATAACACAACAGACAATCAGGATTACATTGTGAAGTAGTTAGAGTACCACTTGTTAACAAAAGCCAAAAACAAAATGTGTTACCTTGTTTAGCAATACACAACAATCACTGATCATGTACCGCGTAGGAAGGTTGTCAGTTGCATCAACAACTATATCATATCTGTGATAATTTAGTGCTGAAAACAAGGGTATTCATTGTTTTTAAATATATGTAGTGTTCATTTGCTGATCACATCAGATCACTGAAGGATACTTCCTCACAACCTCCAAAGCGTTGCTTGGCTTCAAAGTATGATGATGTTCTACCACCTTAATAGACGAATTAATCCTGATTTCACAATAACACAACTGAAATTAGTTACACGGTAGCCTCAAATCTGCAAGAGCTTTTTTGCCATAAATACTATTTAAAAGGGGGTACGACCACATTCGCAAAAAGAGAGGGGATACAACCATACAAAGAATGGTTGAAAGAGCAGTATCTTACGCACGGCAAGTATCAGCTGCTGACTTCACTTTCGATCTTCCAATGTAAGCTTCTTGGTGGATTATCTAAGACAACATTCAAATATTTAATATGAGGAATAGCATGCCCCGTCACTGTTAAATACTTGAAATAGCAACCAATTTCTGATGAGCAGTTATGTTCAAAAGGTCCACTTTTATCAAGCAAAGTGACCGAATTCGATAGCTAACACCCTGAAAAGCGAATGAGAATATTTTGCCTACTTCTATCGTTCAGATTTGTTTCTCAGATAGACAGATGGCATGATTGCCAACATAACTCAGAAGGTAGATTGACATAAAGATAAGAGAATAGGAGATAAGAGGAGCAAAGCAAATCCCAAGTTATTCATACCTGTCGATGAAGGTTGTTAAGCTCAACATCATCACCATCGACAATGCCCAAGACCCCTAGGAGGACAGCGGGTTACAGGAAAGCAATGCGTCAGTGACAGCAAGAAGAAGTGCCCTGCACACGGCTTCAGTCCAGCAGCAACAGGGACAGGGCAGGAGCATTACCAACACCGCAAGCTGCTAGATACAGCGCCACGGGCGAGCCCAGTCCCCCGGCGCCGACCACCAGAATCGATGACCGGGAGAGCTTCTTCTGGCCTGCCACGTTGTTAGCAAGGCGTCAGAGGGCAGGTTCATCGAGCCTCGCCGAGCAGGTGTGCAGTTGAGCTGAGAGCTGACAAACCTTCGACCCCGAAGTCCGGGAGGAGGAGGTGGCGGCTGTACCGGTAGATCATGTCGGCCGGGAGGGAATCGGCATCCGCGAGCCCAGGGCGCGCCTGGCACGCACCGCCACCGCCGACGCACCCGCCGTCTCCCACCCCCGCCCCGGGTGAGACCGGAGCGGCGGAGCCGGCCTCGAGCTCCGACTCTAGCAGCCGTATGCGGGCGTCTAGCTCGTCCCTCTCCGCCCGCAGCCTCTCCAGCTCCCTGCTCCTCCCGCCGTCGCCGCCGCCGCCGTCCATCTCGCCGCAGCTCGACACCTCTGCCGGGGTCGCCCAAGCCGCCGGCCGAGTTAACTTTCTCTAGTGGGCCGCTAAACCAACTACCCAATATTGGCTGACTATCTGGGCCCTTGCAATCCGTATGTCGGTCGGGCCTACGTCTTAGAAGCCGACTAAGGCCCGGATGACCCAAGCCCATTTAAATAGAGGCAGCCAACCCACCCAGGCCAGACGAGAAAGAGAGAGCCCGATAGCGCGTCGCGGTCGTCTAATCGAATCGAGGTCTCGTCCCGTGCGCTCCCTTCTCGCTCTCGCTGCCTCTCGGCGACTGCATCGGCGGCGGCGGCGGCGGCGGCGATGGCGCACCGGCTGCTGCGGGACGCGCAGGCCGACGGCTGGGAGCGGTCGGACTTCCCCATCATCTGCGAGTCGTGCCTCGGCGACAACCCCTACGTCCGCATGGTACGCGTCGCGCGCCCCCTCCCCTCCCCTCCCCCCCAAACCCTAACCCCACCTTGTCGATTCGCGCGCTCGGTTGCTGGTCCGGCGGCGGTGTCGGCGCGATTTTGTGCGCGCCGCCGCGATCTGCTCGGTGCGGTTGTTGTCTCTACGTTGGGGAGTAGATCGGAGTCGAAGCTAGGCGTCTGTCTCGCTGGCGTGCGCTTCGTTTAGAACTTCTCCGCGTTTTAGGATTTTTTAAATAAAATCGATATCAGTAGCTCTCGGCTGAACTGAACAGATTGGTTGTGTTGTTGTAGTTGCCACGTTGTAGAATTTTTTACCAAGTATCAAATCGGTAGCTCGGGGTGGATCGGTCTGCTTGGTTACATGTGTGGTTGTTTACCTGTCCCTGCGGTTGTGTCTATCTATGGGTAAATTAGATGTAAGCAGTTAACTGGATAGCAAAACAGAAAGAAGGTATCAATCAGATGGTTTAGGGGTACAATTAAACATGCAGTGGATGTGAAAACATCTGCAGTTAAAGCTTTTTTTTTTTTGTTTCTGTGAACTGCTCCTTGTTCTCTATTGCTTCAGTTCTTTGTAAGACGGATTATTTACCAGTTTTCTTGTTTGCGTTGGCAGCTCAGAGCAGAATATGACAAGGAATGCAAGATCTGTGCGCGTCCTTTTACTGTCTTCCGTTGGAGACCTGGTCGGGATGCAAGGTACAAGAAGACAGAGATCTGCCAGACGTGCTGCAAGTTGAAAAACGTCTGCCAGGTCTGCCTTCTGGACCTTGAATATGGTCTGCCAGTTCAGGTTCGCGATACGGCACTCGCGATCAATTCGAATGATGCAATTCCAAGGAGTGATGTCAACCGTGAGTACTTTGCAGAAGAGCATGATCGTAAGGTATGTTTTATTTTTCATCACAATCTTGCTGCCATCATTTGCTTATATCTAGATGTATTTTTAGTTCTAGATACATCTATTTTCTATCCATTTCTGCGACAAGTAATTTGGGATGGAGTGATACTTAACTTCCATATCTACTGCAGTGAGCATGTCTAAATCACTGGTTTTATGACAGGATGACACTAAAAACCAAATTTCATTGTGACTTGCAATGATCTACTAAAACTTAGTGAGATGGATGCGCTTAAAGTATATTGATAACTAATAACCACAATATCTTTTAACTGTACTCTGATTTTCCATACTGCCTTGTACAATTTATCTGCTTATGTCACCCATGCTCAACTTCTTGTGCCTGCCTCTTGAATCTATGATTAGTTCCTCCGAATGGAAGTTCATGCTTTATATGTATGCAGGCTGCAGCTGGCATAGATTATGACTCTTCATATGGAAAGGCCCGTCCAAATGATACCATTCTGAAGCTTCAGAGGACTTCACCATATTACAAGAGGAACCGAGCTCATGTTTGCAGTTTCTATGTGCGGGGTGAATGTACAAGAGGTGCTGAGTGCCCATATCGCCACGAGATGCCTGAGACAGGGGAGTTATCCCAGCAGAACATCAAAGATCGCTACTATGGGTATGTGATTTTATTGTGCCTACGAAATTGAGGTATATGCTTTTAGTTCTCTGCAATTTTTCCGTATAGCATTGACAGGTAGTTTTTCATAATCACGACATATGAGTTAAAACTTCCTGTAGCAACCTCAGATTAGCTTTTAGACATTGACATGTTGCTGTACTTTGTTTTCTGAAATTGAGTGTCCTTGATATATATGGCATGTTCATATGTCCATAATATTGCACACTTCTTTTAGAGTGTCTGGCAAGAACCATCATATCATGCAATGATTCTCCTTTAATAGCCTTGTAGTTGGATCTTAGCCGACTTATCCAAATAAGCAGATTAATCTCACTTCCTCTGTTGTTTTGACCTATAGTTTCAAGTTATGTTTAGAGTATGATGTGATTGCACCACTAAACTCAATTCTCTTTCATGTTTCCTGAGGATGGAAAAAGCAACTGCAGGATTAATAAACATTTAAACTTGTATGTGGCTGATCTGAATTTGGGCATTAACTGAAGAAAATTATCGTACATCCATTTATCTGGGGATTAAAGCTGTCTAAACTTAGATAAGAACTGAGCTTGTAGCTATTTAAAATGGTATCTCAACCTAATTGAACTTCCGTTATACCAAGCAGTAGCAGTAGATCAATTGCTCCTTCTTGTTGACTCTTGAGTGAATATCTTGATGTGCACACTTCACTTAAATCTTTGGTTTGGTTTCTGATGTTCCCTTCTTACTCTTTACAGAGTTAATGACCCAGTGGCTCTCAAGCTTTTGGGTAAGGCAGGTGAGATGCCATCTCTGCAGCCACCAGATGATGAGACTATAAGGACCCTCTACATTGGTGGACTTGATAACCGAGTCAGTGAGCAGGATTTGAGGGATCAGTTTTATGCACATGGTGAGATCGAATCCATCAGGATGGTAATCCAGCGTGCTTGTGCATTTGTGACATACACAACAAGAGAAGGTGCTGAGAGAGCTGCAGAGGAGCTTGCTAACAAGCTAGTCATCAAGGGTGTGCGCCTGAAGCTCATGTGGGGCAAGCCTCAAGCCCCAAGGCAAGATGATGACGAGGCTGGGAGGCAAGGCCATGTATCCCATGGAGGATTGCTCCCTAGGGCTGTCATATCCCAGCAGCATAGCAGCGACCAGCCTCAGCCACCTGGGATGGAGGGCCAACAGCAAGTGGCACCACAAGGATCGGGCTACTTCAACATCCCACCACCGCCAGCGGTGGATCAGCGGATGTACCCTTCAATGGACCCACAGAGGATGGGTGCTGTAGTCAGGTCGCAGGAAGGCGATGGCAGCAAGGCAGGGCCACAGCATGCCGGGCAAGCTCAGGCGTCAAGCAGCTCAGGACAGGGCTATCCTATGCGTCCGCCGCTGCCGCCTTACTACCAGGGTGCTCAGTACCCTCCTTACTACCCACCCCCACCATATGGCGGCGGTTACATGGCCCCGCCTCGCATGCCGTACCCACCCCAGTATCCGCCATACCGGCCAATGCTGGCGCCCCCAGCGCAGCAGCCACAAGGGAGTTCATCCCAGCAGCCGGTACCAGCGCCGGCAGGGCAGCAGCAGGCTCAAGCACCTCGTGCTCAGCAGCAGCCACCGGCGGCGGCAGCCCAGAACTGAAGAAGCGGAGGATGTCAAAACAACTGCAGGCGATTGTAAACCCCTGGCTGGTTTTACCAGCTTTTGTATTCCCAAAATTTGTGATTAGCAGTTAAACCTTTCGGAGTGTTGTTGCTTATCTGGATCTATTAAAACTGACAGCTATAGTGGGTTTTTATTGAGCCACTAGATTTTGTTTTTGTCACCTGGTCGCAAGTCTTGCCTTGATGTCTATAATTGCAGAGCACATGAGAGCTTTCAGTATCATGTCATATTACCAGTAAACGTTATAGGCCAAATTCTAATACTAACATGTTTTTTCAATGAACGGTCTGGCACTAAACGTACGATTTTTGGCACTAAACGTAGCTGGTATGGATGGTGTGCCTCCTCGCAGTATAGAAGGCTCAAAACACGAGGAAACAAGACTCACCGGACTGAATGTGCTCCAAAATTTTGACACTGTATTTTCTGAGCGAAGCAGCTTAAGAAATGAACTACTGACAGAGCTCCAGGCAACGGTATTTATGAATTCATGGTGCCCAAAAGATACCTTCAACCAATATGTCTCGAACAGTTGACAGAGTTAGTTGGAATTAAACTTCAGTGCTAGAAATGAAGTAAGAGGAGGAGCATCGTCGGTATGTCTGTGTAACTTCTTAAGAATCAATTTTCTTCTGAAGTGTTTTCATTTCTCGTAGGAATTTCTTTAGCTAGTAGCCTAATACTGAACTCGTGATATGCCGGTCTTTTTACAACAACTCAGAAAGCCAAAATAGAGTACTGCAACTTAGGGCATGTATAATGGTTGATAAGATAGTCTTATCTTAAATTTTGCATATAATTTAGATATAACAAAAAAAAATATGTTTACAATGGGTCATCTTTTAACCTTATCTTCAATAACTAGCTATTTTTAAAAACATGGTGAGACATATTATGCTAAGAGATCATCTCTTGTCTTTTCTTAAATAAGACAAGACAATCATTTTTCTATGAGTTCTCTCTCCTCCATCTCATTATTTATTCTACGTGGCAATCCTAAGATAACACCATTGTACATGCCCTTAATTCATTCGTGCTATTTAAAAAAAAATTGAGGGAAGGGAGATGCCTTAGATGGATGCTCGTTCTGGTGCTCCAGTTCTAGCTGTGTTTTTCTTCCTCTCGTGTAGCCTATCAGTCCAGGTGTTCTTTCTCTTTGAACTTTTGTTTTCCAAATGTCTTTTTCTTCAGACGTTTCAGTGCCTGGCCAGGCCCTGGCTTGCTTTTTCTGCTCGTTTCATACGGAACGTGAGCCATTGTTATGTTCCACGGGCCGTTCCTCTTTTTTCTTTGTCTTCTACTAGCAGGCTATTCGTTCTTATTTTGTGCTCGTTCTTTTCAGTTAGTTGAGAGAGTAAAAGGGTAGTTG